TCTTTCTTACATATTGTATATAACATATATTGGAATATGTACTTTTTACTTCAATCTTATCAGAAGAATTTTACAATATGGTTTTAATATTTTATAAATTAGAGTTTCGTTAATACTCTCTATTTAAAAAGCCGCGGTAAATCTATAACTTTTTATCCATTTCCAAATTCTTCTCTTTGAGTTTGAGTGCAAGCAGTACCATTGTCATCTTAACTGTCATTGAAAAGAATTCGGTGATGAAGAAACGTTATAGATTTTTTTTTAATATTCAGTACTTCTTGTCGACTCGATTTTCAAGAGTTTGATTGTTGTAAAATTCAAAAAGAAACTACTGTTACGCCATGGACTCTACGTCTCCTTTCATTTTGCAACGTAATATAATTAAAAAGTCTAGCAGTAGTTTTAACAAATAATTTTTCAAATTCCTGGAAAGAGAAACGAAAACCAGCTGAAAGAAGATAGACAGGTCCAAACCGGATGACATATTATAAACGAACCTAGCTGGACGACATATTATAAACAAATCTAGCCGGTATCGATAAATAAAAGTTATCGCCCCTTAGAAGGGAATATGATAACTAAAGACTGTACGCGAGCTACGCGCTCGGAAATTTGGGCATGTCATTGCGGTTCTCGCGGCTCTAAAAAAAAAAGTCGTAAAATCAAGAGGCTAGAGCTGCGACACGCAGACATAAACAAGATAAGAGACGTACAAACGACGATCTTATCGATCCGAAGAATCAAACAAAGAAGGAAAGGGTCTTTGCTCTTGGAGGCCAACGAACGAAAGGTCGAAATTTCGAGAAAGGACAATGAAAAAGGGAAATTAACCAGCATCTATAAAAGCCCTGGATCCTCGATCCATGAATCATTAATCAGTACACAGTTTTTCAACACAGTTCGATCTTCAGTAGACAGTTGAGATTTGTCAGAAAACAGTTTTGACGCGGTAGAGTCAGTGATTAACAATCAATCGATCAGTCCGTTTAAATCAAAGAAATTTCGCAAACTTCTCATTCGTCAAACCTCCTAAGGGCGGCGAAGACTCCACTTCCGATCATCCGCGAGCAGCGCGAATCCAAGCAAAACAGCTACGAGCAATCACCGAGCTACGTTGCCGATTATCAGCATCGCTATCACTGTACCGAAATATATCACCGAGTACATTGTAAGTCTCACTATTACCGACACGTACACGTGTATATATTACATTTCGACATGAGCAGCAATCACGATTATCAATTCTTACAACCAATATTAATTCTCGATACACAACGTAACGCTACGATACTTCCGAGTACCTTAATATTGATCGTTAACATTTATCCGATCAATAATTCAATAATAGTGATCTACTTTTTATTGACTATCTCGATTTGCTATACACATAGTACCAAACAGCGCGCCTATGTTAAAAAAGAATCTTTCAAACACTAGAGATAAACCCTTCTCATTTTACAATCTTGCAGAGACGGAGCCGCCCGACGACTCGTAACTAAATAATATTAGTGCATTTAGAAAATAATGATCTTGTAAACACACTTCAAACCGAAATTTTCCACCAACTCAGACACGCGAATCTATAATCGTGAGCACAGAATATTGTAACATTCGAATTTATTGTACCGACCGCCGTGAATACCGTTGTTTCGACTGTTGAGCTTCAAGCCTTACAACCACGTCATGTTCGTCAATTCAACAAAATTAATTGTAACTCATTTATGTCAGTTCACTATAATTGGAATTACCATTAATCTTCTATAGTAATAAACATCTTCTATAAACAATCTTTTATAGTAATAAACAATTATGATCATATTTTTATTATGAAATTCGACTTTCATTGAGATTTAACTCTTATGGACCTCGTCTTACTAACAATCAACTAACATTAAAAACTAATTCATTGCATCAATTCCTCATTAAATCGCCGGGTTCCGTCCTTGGTAATTGAGACTCGTATCTTACAATAAGAGAGGAAATAGGGGAAGGAAAACCCCGAGAGAAAACCCGGGCAAGACGGGCACGTCACCTCTATGCGGGGAACGGTCCTAGGAGAAAGCCACTCCGAAATTAAACCCCCCAATAAATTATGGAGATGTCGCACGCAGAAAAGATAACGTTACCGGACCAGTGTAATCGGACACACAGGTCTCGGCAGTTCGGAAGTTCCGACTCTTCCGACCCTGCTCTCGTGCGGTCGTCATCCAACAAAGGATTGGCTACCTCGTGCCAGGCAGGCGAGGTAATCTTCAATGCTACTGCCGACGGCATGGAGGTGGACCTGGCGGTCCCAGGCCCTGGCAGCATTGGTACGGCAGTGGAGCAATTTCCCACATCTAAAACTGTAGAAAGCCAGCGCACCATTGACTCGCTTGAGATCTTATCGTCTGACGAGAACTCTCAAAGCGCTGGAAGGAAAACCATGAATGCGCAACCATCCTTGTCTGATATGAGAGCATTGACACACTCGTTCTTCAAGGATAGTGTCCTTGCAAGGAAGAGCAGGCAAAGCGGAAGCATCGGAGGAGCAAAGCAAACCCGCAATCGGACTACGACTTGTTGCCAACTTTGTCGGACGCGGACCCGGGACCCGATGTAGATGTCAACTCTGCATCAATTCCTACGCTGCTGGATGTAATCCTTAGTCGCCTCACATATGTGGAGACAACGAGGAGAAAGTCTAAACGACTTAAGAAATCGATTTCAGGCCGAATGAAACAGTCGTAAAACTCCGAAGAGAGTCCCGGGCTCTAGCTCTGTGCGTCGAGTTGAAGGGAGATGCCGAGCATCTGACAAATTGCGCTGCAGCTGCGTCTTGCAAATGGTGCGCTCCAAGCTGAAGTGCTGGGGTTGAAGCGCCGGCTAAATGAACTAGCAAAAGAAGCACCCCCAGCACGGCAGAAATGTGATGCGACAGTTCAAACATCACTACCGATTATGACGTCGATCCAAACAATCCCAGTGGGATCGGCGCCGATGACGCGAATTGCGGCCACTCCGATTAATCCCCCTTCGATGGGAAGATGCAAGAGGGTCCTCAAGACTTCGGGGGGCGGTCTGAAACCCGCTTTTGTCGAGGAGAAAAACGTGGCTAGTATAATTAGAAAAGAGGTCACGGAACTAGTGCGCAGAGGAAGAAAGGAGACGGAAGAGCGTGTACTTGAGTTGATAAACAACGCTCTGTCACGCCTCACCGGAGTTTCCCAGGGCAGGAAAAATCAACAGGCCGAGAACGCAGCAGTCCAGCCAAGGAAAGGTCAACGTAGGCCTGAAGACTCCTGGATCAAAGTGGTAAAGCGGAAGCGCCGCGGTCCCAAGCCATCAAAAGGAAGTACGCGGCCGAGAAATTCTATGGCGGTTCAAAAGCCCGCCAAAGCCCAGCAGCAACAACAACAACGGCAAAGCCTTCTATCGGGTGCGACTCCTGGTCACTCCCAAAGCGGCCAATCTCGGGGCAATCAATCCCAGGGCGGACAGCCCAAGCGCAAGAAGCGCAAACCTAAGCGCACGGCGGCAGTGGCGATTCGCTGAACACTGGACCAGGAGCACCCTGTCCCATACGCGGATCTTAATTGCACTACGCGGTCAAACGTCCTCTTATAAGACCTGGAAATCACGGACACCCGCATCCGCCGCGACATAGGGGGTAATATACTGGTGGAAATACCAGGCCCGGACGGAGAAGAAAAGGCCGAAAAGCTTGTAAAAGCCCTAGCCCCAATTCTCCAGGGCAAGGCGGTCGTAACCCACACAATACAGAAAGGTGAGGTGCTCCTCACGGGACTCGACGAGTCCGTTAAATCCGGTGATGTAGTGGCGGCTCTTTGTTCCGAAGACTTTGGTCCTTGTCGAGCCGAAGATGTTCGGATGAGCCCGACTAAAGAAGGCCGCGATAAAATGGGCACAGCTTGGCTCAGGTGCCCGGCTGAAGTGGCGGAAAAGGTCTCGGAGAAGGGTAGACTGAGAGTTGGGTGGTCGTCAGCCCGTGTCACCCTTCTCCCTGCCCGGCAGCTTCAATGCTACAAGTGCTTGGAGTTCGGGCATGTCCGGGCAGCCTGCCACAACGACGTCGACCGTAGCCAGACGTGCTATCGTTGCGGTGAGAGGGGCCACGTTGCACGCAACTGCAAGGGAAAGGCCCACTGCGTGCTGTGCGCATCTCGAACCTTAGCCTCGAAACACAGAGTTGGGAGCGCGGCCTGTCCGTTGAAAACGAAGGGCCGAAATGGCGTCAAGAAACCCTCGGAGCGGAGGATCGAGGAACAGATGGAGGTAGTGCAGAAAGATGGACATACTCCTCTAAGTTAATCTTAACCACTGCGGTTCTGCACAAGACCTGCTTTGGCAGGTGATGTGAGCGGCAGGTGGTCGCGATATCAGAGCCCTATTGGATCCCTGATATCCAGAGCTGAGCTGGCGACCTTGACGGAATGGCGGCAATCGCTTGGTCTCCTCAAGCTAGTCGCACTGTTTCGGAAGTGTTAGACAGAAGCCACGGGTTTGTGGCCGTGCGATGGAAGAAACTGGCTGTGTTCAGCTGCTACTTCTCTCCCAGTCGCAGCAGAAAAAACTTAGAGGAATCCCTGGATTCCCTCCGAGACAGTGTGAGGCGCGTGGGCAACAATGCCTACCTAGTCCTGGAGGACTTTAAAGCTAATATTACATTTGTCGTACGACAAACCTGTTGGACGTTCTTATTGGCTGGCGACGAAACATAAGTAAGGGCGATGTCCCATTGAGCGGAAATCTATAGCGGAACGGAATGTGCAAAACCGGCTCGACCAATCGTAACCACAGAAAAAGCGAAGGAAAGAAAACGGAATGGTTATGATTGGTCGAGCTGGTTCCGCACATTCCGTTCCGCTATAGATTTCCGCTCAATGGGACGTCGCCCTAAGAGATTTTCGTCGAAAAGTTACTACATATCTTGTCGAAAAAAAGTTGGCCAAGAACGAACATTGGGTGTGTTTAGCCGAAGCTAGCGCTACGTAGCGCTACGTAGCGGCTTCATGTAGCAGTTGCAACTGCTGCGTTACTTCTGCTGGACAGTATTGCTACGCGCAGCATGTTCTGTAGTGGCCGCCATTTTTGTAGGTGCAAATATGTTTGTGTACAAATCGCCGTATTCTTTGCTTGCTAAACTCTGTTTTTTAATTATTTATAAAAATGGCAAAAAAAGTGTCAAAGTATTATAATTGGGACGGTATTATTGTAGAAATAACAGACACTGAAGAAATACACAACCAAATTGAAAATGGTAAGCAAACAATTAACCTTAAGCGTGTTATTTTAGGCATAAAATTTATTGTATAATTTCTGTAATATTTTAAGTTTTGTTGTTTTTTATTAAGTTAAAAAAAAAGTTAGAGGATAAATCTCTTATTTTTATACATATTTCTTTTCGATTCAAATTTGTAAATATCAGAATAATCTTTGTGGTTAAACCTTAATTAGGCGCGTCATTTTGGACATAAAATTCATTTTATAATTCTGGTAATGTTTTACATTCCGTTGTCTTATTTCTATTTTCCGTTGTCTCATTTTTTGTCTTAAAAAAAGTTTGAGTTTAATATTTGTAAATAAAAAATAATAATTTCATTTTAGATGGGAATTTTGCCACCGCGTACTTCACTAATGCAAAAAAAATAGTTTTAAAGTCGGATACAATCATTGATTTTACATTAATGACTGATGATTGTCCATCTACATCAATGACTGATGATTGGCCATCTACATCAATGACTGATGATCGGTCATCTATATCAATGACTGATGATCGACCATCTACATCAATGACTGATGATCAGCCATCTGCATCAATGATTGATGATCGACAATCTGAAAAAGAAAAGTTAAATAAAGAAGATACAACCAAAGAAAATAAGATAGTTATTGCAGACGATGGTATGTTTAATATTTAATCAAATTGAAAAATATTAAGGCAATGAAAGAAATTCTTGACCAAATGATTTTGTCTCTTGTTTCCTCAATTAGTTATTCATGCTATAATTAATTTGTTCTTTTTTAGATTCAACCATAGCTGATTGGAGTGATCCAGCCACGAAATTATTGCTCGCAAGTTATTTCGAACGAAAATCGAAATTTCGTGATCCGACGAAAAGAAAAAAAGACTTATGGAGAGAAATAACAGATGTATTCAATAAACAAGGCTATATCATTTCGAGTAATGCTTTAGGCAAGAAATTTCGAAATCTGAAGACCAGATACAGTACTATAAAAAGAAATAACGATAAGAAAAGTACAGGAAAAGGTCGTATCATGTGGAAGTGGTATAAAGATATGGAAGAAATTTTCCACGAGGACAAGTCGATCAATTTTGATAAAGCGATAACTAGTATGGATCAAGAAGATTCGAATGCGGTCAACAATGTTACAGATGAAAGGGTGTGTTTAGCCGAAGTTAGCGCTACGTAGCGGCTTCATGTAGCAGTTGCAATTGCTGCGTTACTTCTGCTGGATAGTATTGCTACGCGCAGCGCTTTTTGTAAGCGCAAATATGTTTGTATACAAATCGCCGTTGTATTCTTCGGTTGCTAAATTGTGTTTTTTAATTATTTATAAAAATGACAAAAAAAGTGTCAAAGTATTATAATTGAGACGGTATTATTGTAAATGGCGGCCACTACTTAGAACATGCTACGCGTAGCCATACTGTCCAGCAGAAGTAACGCAGCAATTGCAACTGCTACATGAAGCCGCTACGTAGCGCTACGTAGCGCTAGCTTCGGCTAAACACACCCAAAGTGAAATTTTGGATTTGTCAACAGTCAATAGAAGGTTTATTTCAGCAGCATTGTTATTTTATTTTTCCAAGAACTGTTTAACTGCTCTTTATTTGTGTTTGAGTGTGTTCGTAGTGCTACGTAGCGCTAACTTTGGCAGAACACACCCAATAAGTGAGGTTAAAAAGTTATTGGAAAACATGGATAATATAATGGATTTTGTAATGAATGAGTTTATAGCAGATATTGATGAAAATATCAACTTAGCTGGAGAAATGCTCGTCCAATTTCCAGGTAATTATGTCCAAAATAGTAACAAATATACAAAAAATTAACTTTTTGTTCTTCCGTTATAAATTAATTATAATTGTTTATTGATCGACACTGAAGGTCAAGAAGATATTGCTGGAGATATTCAAGATGCATTACTCGCTTTAGGTGAGAATGAAGATAATGCAGATAACCTTCTGCATATACATCCACGTGAAAATGGGCTTGTCAGGAATGACGACTATGTTGAAGATATTATACCGCAATATAACGATCAATAGTTTTACTCTCATTTCAGAATGTCGAGGGGAACATACATGGTAAATAAATGCTAATATAAAATGACATTAATTGTGAATGAAAAAATCATTCTTGTTTGACATTTAATAAGAATTTATTATTATTTTTTATCACCAATTAATAAACTATGAGAATTAATTATTATTATCCGAAATGATCAACAGATTTTATTTGGTTTTTTGAACTTTTATTTCAGTGAAAATACATGATATATTCTCTCAATGATATAAATTTTCAAAAATTTCACAATTTTCCGTAAAAACTTTTCATAAAAGATTTATAAATTTTTTGTGACTCCTATGAATCATTATGAATCTTTATCAATTTTCATGAAATTTTAATATTTTTACTGAAATTTTATATTACAAATTTTTTCGAGCGAAACCAGAAGTTGAATTTAAATAAGACAACAATTTTTTAAGAGCCCAATGCAGGTAGAATGCTGACCAATTTTCAGATATTTTGTCGAATCGTTTGTAAGAGCATGCTACTTTTCCGGACAGGCAGTCAGATAAATGAACTTATCATTACAACCTGTTTTTTTGAGTTCCAGAGATTTTAAAACTGTAAAATTTCATTCCATTAATAAAAATTACATTCCATTTTTCAGAAAAAATCAATATTATTCTTATTATCAAGGTAATGAAAAGCAAAAATAGATTTTTAGTTAAATGTTGGTATGTCTGTCTCTATTCGCTTCATAAAAATACGTATACATGCAAAACGTCTGGTAGCAATGTTTGTCCGGAAATTTCTAAACATTTCAAGGTTTTCATCTATGAGATATTGTAGTGTATATTTAATTTTCGTATTATTTACAGGAATTAGAAAATACATTAATGCCATTAATGGTCGAAGATGATATTCCTTTCACAAAAAAAATACTACTATCTATATGGATATTGGCAACACCTGATAGTTTTCGATCTGTCGCTGACAGATTCGGATTACCGAAAACTGCTGCTTACAATGCGTTTTCAGAAGTAGTAAAAATTTTGAAAAACCTTATGAGAGAATATATAAAGTGGCCGAATGCTGATGATTATGTAGAAAATAGTACTGTAAGTATGATAAAGACATTGGCGGCTATGATATTCTGTTTTGGTATCACCTTCTTTTGAATTTAATTTTCTTTAGGTTTTCTATAGACGATCTAGAGGATTTCCAGGTGTAATCGGAGCAATCGATGGGTGTCACATCCAAATTAAACAACCCCCGGGAAATGCAAATGATTACTACAATAGAAAAGGATTTCACTCTATTATTTTGCAAGGTACATATATATATATATAACATCAATATAATTATGCAAATAACGTGCCACTAAAAACCAAATGTTGAATACTTCTGCAGGTACATGCGATCATTCTGGCAAGTTCATCGATGTTTTAATTGGTCGACCAGGTCGAGCCCACGACGCAGCTGTTTTTCGGAGCAGTCCCTTATACACCAAATTAACTGATGAACAGAATCATTTGTTACCACCAGATAAACACATCATTGCAGATTCTGCATATCCATTACTCCAAAACGTGATGACGCCATTCAAGGACAACGGCCATCTTAGCGAAATGCAATCAAGATACAATGCAAAATTGTCATCAATACGCTCAATCATCGAACGAGCATTTGGTTTACTAAAAGGCAAATTTCGTAGATTACGATATTTAGATGTGAGATCCGTTATGATGGGTAATTTAATAATTGCGGCAGCTTGTACTTTGCATAATTTTATTTTATTACACGAAGGTATCAATATTAGAGATAACATAAATATTCGAGATGATGTTGGTGTCAATAATGATGTTATTGATGATGGAGATGTAAATGTTGAGGAAAATGAAAATGCACGTCAAAAACGAATAGAAATTATGAATTTGTTATAAACTATATTGTAAAAACTAAACATGTTTTTAAATAAAAAAATATTTTTAAACTATTTGATTATCAATATAACTTATTTATTATGAAGTCTTCCATAATAAATTGATAGTCTTTCATAATCTTTCGCTTCTCTTTATGTATAATAAGAAATTTATTTGGTAACGTTCGCATTCTTAATTATTTCAGTCAGTTCTTTTAAGGCCTGTGTTCTGGCATTTACCGCGTCGGCTAAATTTTGCTGTGAAACAGCAATAGCGTTGACACCTTCTTGCCACATCTGCATATTTTGCTGTTGTATAGCTGAACTTTGCTGGATCTTATTTTCGATCGCTTTCAGAACATCGATTTTCATTGTTTCGATCTCCAGTTGTCGACTTCTTTGGCTATATAATTGTTTGCTTTTCGCTGCTTTTCGAGAGCTACTATTCGAACGACTGCTGCCATCAAGACTACTTGTATCAAAACTGTTTTCATTTCTTACATCAAAACTACTTTCACTTGGAAAATCTTTCAATGTAACATCAGCGTTTGATGGATCATCAGCTTCCTTCCGCAACTCCTCAGTAGTTTCTTTACTATCAGAAAACCAGTCAAAAGAGCAAGACATATCAGATAATAAAGACAAATAAAGAGCAGTTAAACAGTTCTTGGAAAAATAAAATAACAATGCTGCTGAAATAAACCTTCTATTGACTGTTGACAAATCCAAAATTTCACTTTCATCTGTAACATTGTTGACCGCATTCGAATCTTCTTGATCCATACTAGTTATCGCTTTATCAAAATTGATCGACTTGTCCTCGTGGAAAATTTCTTCCATATCTTTATACCACTTCCACATGATACGACCTTTTCCTGTACTTTTCTTATCGTTATTTCTTTTTATAGTACTGTATCTGGTCTTCAGATTTCGAAATTTCTTGCCTAAAGCATTACTCGAAATGATATAGCCTTGTTTATTGAATACATCTGTTATTTCTCTCCATAAGTCTTTTTTTCTTTTCGTCGGATCACGAAATTTCGATTTTCGTTCGAAATAACTTGCGAGCAATAATTTCGTGGCTGGATCACTCCAATCAGCTATGGTTGAATCTAAAAAAGAACAAATTAATTATAGCATGAATAACTAATTGAGGAAACAAGAGACAAAATCATTTGGTCAAGAATTTCTTTCATTGCCTTAATATTTTTCAATTTGATTAAATATTAAACATACCATCGTCTGCAATAACTATCTTATTTTCTTTGGTTGTATCTTCTTTATTTAACTTTTCTTTTTCAGATTGTCGATCATCAATCATTGATGCAGATGGCTGATCATCAGTCATTGATGTAGATGGTCGATCATCAGTCATTGATATAGATGACCGATCATCAGTCATTGATGTAGATGGCCAATCATCAGTCATTGATGTAGATGGACAATCATCAGTCATTAATGTAAAATCAATGATTGTATCCGACTTTAAAACTATTTTTTTTGCATTAGTGAAGTACGCGGTGGCAAAATTCCCATCTAAAATGAAATTATTATTTTTTATTTACAAATATTAAACTCAAACTTTTTTTAAGACAAAAAATGAGACAACGGAAAATAGAAATAAGACAACGGAATGTAAAACATTACCAGAATTATAAAATGAATTTTATGTCCAAAATGACGCGCCTAATTAAGGTTTAACCACAAAGATTATTCTGATATTTACAAATTTGAATCGAAAAGAAATATGTATAAAAATAAGAGATTTATCCTCTAACTTTTTTTTTAACTTAATAAAAAACAACAAAACTTAAAATATTACAGAAATTATACAATAAATTTTATGCCTAAAATAACACGCTTAAGGTTAATTGTTTGCTTACCATTTTCAATTTGGTTGTGTATTTCTTCAGTGTCTGTTATTTCTACAATAATACCGTCCCAATTATAATACTTTGACACTTTTTTTGCCATTTTTATAAATAATTAAAAAACAGAGTTTAGCAAGCAAAGAATACGGCGATTTGTACACAAACATATTTGCACCTACAAAAATGGCGGCCACTACAGAACATGCTGCGCGTAGCAATACTGTCCAGCAGAAGTAACGCAGCAGTTGCAACTGCTACATGAAGCCGCTACGTAGCGCTACGTAGCGCTAGCTTCGGCTAAACACACCCA